GTTCCTGCACCAAGTGTGGTCTACCCCACTGCAGGCCTCTTTTTTAATCACAAAGACATAAAATCCTAGTCTCTTTAAACCCCAGTGGGTTTTGCTTTTTATTTTGTTCTTTGGCTCTGTGTAGCCTAACCTAATTCCAGCAGGTGTGAGTTGTGCCGGTCGGTGCAGTGCATCTCTATCCTGCACACTGGGGCCTCCAAGACTTACGGTGTCAGATGACACAGGCAGTGGTGTGAGTTACAGAGGCCAGGAGAGAGGAGAGGTGGCCTCCCCTGGTACACTGTCTCAGGAACAGACAGGCCAGGGCCTCCAGGATGGGGGTGGAGTGTAGGGTGGGTAACAGCAGAGCAGGGCACAAAGGGAGGGCCTGAGGCTCAGGGTGAGTGGGAAGACTAGGGGAAATCAAGACCCTGTGGAGCTAGTAGTAGGACAGAGAGGAAACAGAACCCATTCTGAAAGAATGTAGGTTTGGGGCTTGAAAAGGAGGGGAGAGACCAAGAACGGGGACCAGTTCAGGATTCATAAGCATCCCCCTGGAAGAACTGGCTTGGTGTCGGGAAGGACACGGTGCCCTGTGCTGCCCTGACACTGAAGGTCAGGTGGTGGAGTGTATGTGGCTTTAAAACCCAGACTCGCTAGCCAGCTGGTGAATCTGCTTACCTGCAAGTGTTTCTGCAGAAATTTTAGAAACAGCTGTCAATAGTGAGGCCATGTAACGAGTCGTAAGGACACTGAAGTCATTAAGGTCATTAAGGTACCTGAAAATGGCTACAACAAATAGTGGGGAGGGGGGGAGAACCCAGAGTTGAAACCAGGTATGGTGGCACGCACCTGTAGTTCAGCAGTTCAGGAGGCTGAGGCAAGTAAGTCTTGGAGGCCCCAGTGTGCAGGATAGAGATGCACTGCACCGACCGGCACAACTCACACCTGCTGGAATTAGGTTAGGCTACACAGAGCCAAAGAACAAAATAAAAAGCAAAACCCACTGGGGTTTAAAGAGACTAGGATTTTATGTCTTTGTGATAGGAGGATTGAGAGTTCAAAGCCAGCCTCTGCAATTTAGTGAGGCCCTAAGCAAGATCCTGTTTCTAAATAAAATTTTTAAAGGATGGGGATATGGCTCAGCGATCAAGCACCCCTGAGTCAATCCTTGGAACCAAATCAAAAAACAAACAGACTCGAGGGCTGGGGTGAAGCTCGTCGGTAGAGCACCTGCAGCTCGGGTGAGGCCCTGGTTCTGTCCCTAACGTCGCACACACACACGACTAAATTACAAAGGGCTTGGTGCAGGTCTGCCTTCTCACTGAGGACATAGATCCTCAGACCTTCTGCTTCCCTTTGCCCTTCACCTTTGCTTGTCCCCCTTCCCTCCTCCACCTCCCTCAGCACCTGCATGCATCCCCTGGCCTCCGTCTGGTCTGTGAGGCTCTTTCTCCTGTCTACAGCCTTGTCACCCGCATCCCTCGGGAGGCCTGCTCCAGTGTCCCCCTGCCCCCAGGCCATCTTGGCCAGAATGTGCCTGAGATGTACGTGTGTGGTGTGTCCCTCACTGACCCTGTCACCTCTCCTCTCTGCTGGGTCCCAGAAGGACTAGAACAGCTCCCGAGTTCAGTTCCCATTTGGGAGTGAATAAACATTTTATTTTATTTTTTTAAATATTTCTTTTAGTTGTCAATGGACCTTTATTTATTTATATGTGGTGCTGAGAATCGAAACCCGTGCCTCACACATGCTAGGCAAGCGCTCTACCACTGAGCTACAGCCCCAGCCCCCGCCCCGCAATAAACATTTTAAATGAAACTAAAGCTCACTGACCAAGTGTCAATTTAAGTACAAAGGTGCTGCGGGAAGTTCAGGAATTAGAGCTGCGATATGAAATACAGTTAAGGCCTCCGGTGACTGCTATGAGCCCCCGACCCCGGGAGGATCAGGACTCAGTCTGGAGGCCAGCCCCCTATCCCCCAGGAACCAGCCCCTTCCCCGCATAAGGGCAATGGGGGACCAGGGACGTAGCTCAGTGGTAGAGCACTTGCCTCACATGGCAAACCCTGGATTCAGTCCCCAGCACTGCAAAAAAAAATGAAAAAGTGATGGAAACCTTCCCTCCTCCTGTCAGGGGTGGCCACAGAGACTCAGGACCCGGCAGGTAGCACCACATGGCCCTCTAATGCAGCCAGCCCTATACTCCTAGCTATGTACCCTGGGGGGTGGCTCAAGAAGGATAAGACCAGAGGCCTGCAGCCTCGGGACCTGCCTACTACCCGCACACCTGCGGGGCCCCAGCTGAGCACAGGGAGGGGAGCAGGGAGCCAGGCCTGGAGCCCTGGGGCCAGCGCAGGTTCTTGGGATGAGTGTGGATTTGCCCTTCCGCACCACCGTGCCTGGAGCAGTGGTCAGGTAGCTTCCTGCACAACCCAGATGAAAAGGTGGCTTTTATTTTAGACCTGGTGCTTTCTTTACCCCGCAGAACATCACTCCCATCCCAGGAGAGGCACCTAAGGGCTGCTTTCAGTCTTGGCCTCTGGACAGAGCCCAGCTGCCAGGGGCTGCCTACGCTGGCATTTTAAAAGGCCCTGTGCCCAGGCACTGCCCCAGCACTCCTCCAGAAGAGCTGTGCGGGAGAAACTGAGTGAGGGGGCGGGGCCTGGCCACTTCACGTCTGGGTTTCCTTCTATGTCAGCTCTCCAGAAATTTCTCATTTGGGACAAACAGTGCTGAGGAAAAGCTGAGCGCATGGCCTACTTACAGACAGTGTTAATTATGGGCTCTGGGGTGGGATTTTCCTGTCATCATGTTACCAACTTCCAGGGCTGTTGACGGGGACTGATTTATCCCAGGGCATCTGGGCAACCTCCTCTGAAACTGCCCCCATGTCGGCCAGGGTCCTCTGCAGTGCAGAGTGATCACTGGGTGGGGGAGAGAGGAGGGGGACAGCGCCAAGCTCCGAGCTGGGCTCTGGTAGGTGGGTGCTACTTCCCTTCATGGGGCTTTTCAGCAGCCATGCACCTGTGTGTCCGTCTTCCACCTGCGTGAGTCCCAGAGGCACTGGTAGTGGTCCCCCTGTGCCCTGCATACCTCCTTCTTCCCGGCTCACTTGTGCAGCAGGCCAGAGGTATTGTCACGAAAGGGAAAAAACAAACGAGAAAGTTCTTTCTCTGCTGAGAGTCTGATTGCTTGTTGGTGAGTCCTGACCCATATACGTTTCCAAAGAGACACTCGATGTCTGTGGAAGAAATGTCCTTAGACTGTTCTCAGAGCCCCTGGGCCTGCATTCTGCTATCTGCCAGACTACAGCAGGCAGGGCTCGCTGTACCCCTGAGTGGAGGAAGCTTGCTTTTGGCGGTCGTCCTTGCAGAAGCCCTGGCCCTGCCTAGCCTGCCCTGCTCTGTGCCCTGTGCTTGTCTCTGGTCTCTGCCCCGCCACTCTTTCATGCTACTCTGCCTTCATCAAGTCTGTCCCACTGCTGGAACGTCCTTCCCCTCTCTTGTGACAGGTGCCTTGTTTGTTCCTGCTGTCCACCAAAAATCAGGTCCCCCTCCTCTGAGCACGTTCTGTAACCTTCTCCTGCCTTGGTTGTCACAGATGCGCTCACTCGTGCTCATTCACCTAGCTGGCTCCTCTCCCTCCTGCACTGTGAGCTGCCCAAAGTCAGGGTCTCCCCTGGGCCCCTGTTGACCCTTCACACCTGGCTAGTTTCTGCACACCATGGGCCCTGAAGGCAGAACTCTCCCAAACTCTCACCCTCCAGAAACGGCTGTGGTTTGACAGAGCTCATGGCTCTGAGCCCAGCCTGCCAGAGTCTTGACAATGGCCTTGTCCATTGTCAAGTGTAACATTTGACAACATCTGTGTCCTCGACACTGCTAGCTCATCCTGTGACTACCTACAGCTCCCCTCTTAGTTGTGAAGAACTAGGTTGTGCTTTGCTTGGGATCCCTGTCATCCGTTCGCTCATTCATTTATTCAGCTTCCCCTGTGCCCTGGCCACTGCTCTGGGCCCTGGGCACATGGAGATGACCAACACAGATGTGGCCTCTGCCTCCATAGAATTTGCATTCAAGTGGTGAGAGGCCGGCAAGAAGCCAGGAAATTGATGAGTAAGATGACATGAAGGAGTGGCCGGCAGGGTGGAGCTGTGGACGCTGCCTCCTGGTGAGGGGGGGTGGGGAGCCGTGGTACGAGATGGGCCACCTCGACGTGGCCATCTTTGGAAGATATGCTTGACCACATTGTTTGTTATTTTTCTACTCCCTTGGCCGTGACAGTGCCCTTAAATGGTCTGACAGGAGAAAAGGCGCTGTGTACACACAACTTTCCGTCTGTGTTGATTTGGGCAGATTGTCCTGCGTGTCTTGTTAAATTGGTGCGGAGAGACTGTACCTATGGGCCACTGTTGCCCAAAAGACAGGGCAGCAAGGCATGCCGCTGGCAGGCAGAGGCCCAGGGAGCACCCAGATGTGACAGTGAGGGCAGTGACAAGCCACAGCAGGCTGTATCCCTGGTGGCAGAGGGCTGGGGCCTACTGCAGCTAGCATTGCCTCTTCTTTCTTTTTGTTTTTTAAACTCAATGATTCTCCTGCCTCAGGCTCCCCGGTGGCTTGGATCACAGGCAGATGTCGCCATACCTGACTAGAGGCTAGTGTCCTCTAAAGCTTAAGTTTCGGAGCCTTTGGTTCAGGACTCCTTGTGTCACTTAGCTGTGAGCAGCTAAGCACCCAATGGCTGCCTAGCATGGATGCTCAGGGCACCGTCACCTCGGCCCTTGCACCTGTCTGTAGCCATACCTTGAAGACTGATAAAGCATGCACAGGCTCGCAGAGCTCCAGCAAGTGTCCGGAAACCATTCATTGCTTCCTGTCTGATGATAACACCTGCGATGCCAGATGAAGCAGGAAGGGGCTGCCTTGCACCAGACATCCCTGTGGCAGCCTTCTGGAGAGAGGAGTGGGCCTTTCCCTCCTCTCTCTGAGCTGACTCTCTGCCCTCCTTTGTCCTGACAGATGAAGACATGCGCTTGTGGTACCCCTCGTTGCAGGAGGTCATGGAGGTGTTCCATAGCCTGGGAGCCCACAACCCTGCCCTATACCTGCTGGGGCCCTTTCAGCATGGCAGCAGGTGGGTGCCTCCTCTTCCTCCCTTCCCCTCTGCTGCCTTTCCTCTGATCACCAGTTACTGGGCTTGGCTCTAGCCCTCAGGGTGGGGAGCTTCAGAGCAGTGGCATGTGCCACCTGGAAATGCAGATCTGTCCAGGGCTGGCATGTGTGCTCCCATGCACCCAGCCTCAGGCCTGGGGAGAATGGGGTAGGTGAGCCTCACCTCTTCATCAAGTGTTTGTTTCAGCCACTTGCTGAGTGAGACCTCGCTTCCCCACCTCCTGGTGGAGCCCAGACTTCTCGGATGGTTGGGAGCTCCCCAGACGTGTCCCCATCTCGCAAGCCTTGCTCCAGGGCTCTTGGTGGGTCCACTGCTGACGGCAGCTGGAACACAGCAAGGCGGTTTTCCCTGTCATTTCCACAGTGCTCTCTTGTTTCTCGTGTGCCCACTTTGCGCCTGGGCTGAGTGTGGTAGTTGGTGGATGGTGATGCTAATTTGCATGTGCACTGTCCCTGGAAAGGACAGCGCCACACAATACGCACATAACTGTCGTCAGCAGATAGTGGCCACATCCAGGCTATAAAAGTGTTATGATCTTGTTCTACAAATCCTGGCACATCTGGCTTCCTGGAGGATTCTTTGAGGAGCTCCCACCAAGCATCCAGCTAACAGTCCCTCTAGCCCAGGAGGTGCCTCTCCCTGGCTACTGGTGGCTGACTGGTGATGTTCCTCCTCAGGAAAAGCAGGCGCTTCCTTAAGAACCTGCTCTACGACTGTTTAGTAACTGTCTGCCAAGCTAGCTGCACTCAGCTCTGCTGGAAACACCCCACGCGTGTGCCAGCCTGCGCTCCTGCCCCTCTCCCCGGAGCTCGGTGTCCGTATCTGGTGTAAGAAGCCACTTGCCGCTTCCTAATGCAGAGCTTCAGTCACACCCCTGTCTCAGATGAGTGGGGGAAATTTGAATTTCACTCCAAAAAGCAAATGCACGTGGAGTGGGAGACCAGTGGAGGGGATCAGAAGAGCTACTTCTGACTGCTGGATGAACCCCGAGCTCTCCCTGGAAAGTGGGAGGTGGCCCTGGAAACCATCTACCACCAGGTTAGACTCCACACTCCAAAGCCACTTTCCCCTTCCCCTCTCTTACTGGTTCTGCCAAGGTGTGACTGCTTCCTGCCCTTCACACTGCGGAGCAACTCGGCTGTCTCCAGAGGCTGCAGGGGGCAGGTGGGCGTTAGAATTGTGGCCCTTTTTTTGGTACCAGGGATTGAACTCAGGGGCACTTAACCACTGAGCCACATCCCCAGCCTTTTTTAATATTTTATTTAGAGATAGGCTCTCTTACTTAGGGCTTCACTAAATTACTGAGGCTGGCTTTGAACTCCTGATCCTCCTGCCTCAGCCTCATGAGCTGCTGGGATTACAGACATGTGCCACCATACCTACCTGGCTCTGAACTCTTGCCATTTAAGCACATCATCTCGGCACTGCTCCACAAACCCCAGCACGCAGGCCTCCAGCTTCTTCAGGCACAGGGAGCCGTGCTGTCCTAGGGCAGAGCTCAGAGCTGTGTGGTCTCATGCCCACACCTGCTGTTTTGACCCCCTGCCTCCTTTCCACGGACCCCAGACCTTAACCCGGCCGTTGACACCGTTTCCCCCAGGAGGATTCCAAGCTGTCCTGGAGGATTGGCTGATGGCCATGGGAAAGGTCCCAGCTTGAGCCTTGTAAGAGCAGGCTGAGGTCCACCTGCCAAGCCACTGGGAGCAGGAGGTTTTCTGCCTGGAGACCCTTCCCTCGTCCTCCTGGGGAGGGGGAGGTGAAGATGCTCAGTTACTCCTTGGGTGGCTGGCTGCCACAGCGCTTGGGAAGGCCCTGGATGGTGCCATGGGGTTGGGGGACAGCTCCTCCAGAACATTCAGGAGACACCAGCAAGGCTCAGCACCTCCCCAGCAGGGTTCAACAATCCTCAGGGAGGTAGGCCGCAGGAGGAATCGCCAAGAAGCACCCTCTCCCTATGGCCTGCCCATTCTTGCTCCTGACCACACTAGAGGCCTGCCCTGTGCCAATGACTCTACGCCAGGCATTTCTTCTCTGATGCCTTCTAGGGTTGTCCTCATGTAGGACTTCCCCACAGAAGAGATGCCTCTGGGTATCTTTGGGGGAGGGGCACACTACAGAGCCTTATAATGACGAAGGCTAGAAATGAAGGGCTGTCTGTGCACAGGCCCCGTGACCCAGCTGTCCCTCTGGTTGCTATGAGGAAGATGTGCCTTTCACTGCTTTTGGGGGGGGGGGGGGGGGGTTACTGAGGATTGAAGCCAGGGTGCTTTATCGCTGAGCCACATCCCTAGCCCTTTTTATTTTTTATTTTGAGATAAGGTCATACTAAGTTTTAGAGGCTGGCCTCAAACTTGTGACCCTTCTACCTTAGTCCTCCAAGTCACTAGGATTACAGGTGTGTGCCACGATGCCCAACCTTCCTATTGTGTTTTTGTTTTTGTTCTTTTGGGTACCAGGGATTGAACCCAGGGGCACTTAACCACTGAGCCACATCTCCTGTCCTTTTTTCTATTTTATTTAGAAAAAGGGTCTTACCGAATTGCTCAGGGCCTTACTAAGTTGCTGAGGCTGGTTTTGAACTCATGGTCCTCCTGCCTCAGCCCTCCTGCCTCAGCCTCCCAAACTGCTGGGATTATAGCCTCTCCATTGGTTTTTGATTTAAGACATTGATGGAGCTTTATTTTATTCATATGCAGTGCTGAGAATCTAACCCAGTACCTCATACACGCTAGGCAAGCGCTCGACCACTGAGCCACAACCCCAGCCCTCACTATTGGTTTTTAATCTCAGATTTCTTTCAAATCCATCACCATCTTTTATCTGAACGTGCTTCAGGATTTTCTTTCAGAAGGATACAGTCCTTCCACAGCTGAACCCTGCGGTCATCCAGGTGTCCACTTGTTGAAAATAAGCAGTCCCTGCCCAGTCACAAGGCTGGGGATGGAAAACAGGGAATATATGGGGTCGAAGGGGCAGAGGAGGAGGAGCCAGAGCATTAGCACCCTTGGGAAGGGGCTCACGCCCACACTGCCACCCAAAATGGGCTCATCAGTGCTCCGGTCTCACGGGGGAACACAGGGACCGTCCAGCTATGGCTGGTCTCCCAAGGCTGCTTCCTGAGCACAAAACCAGATGATGAGTCCTGCTCAGATCCATGGGCCTGGCTGTCAGGACAGCCCTGTGCAGAGGCCAGACAGATAAATAAATGATAGTTAGCACATTGAAAGGACATCCTGTCCAGCACGGGGCAGTTGATAATGGCCTCTTTTGATGGTGTAATTCAATCCAGGTAAAATTAGCCTTCCTGCCCCCTCCCTTAGCTTGGTGGCCATTCCTCACCATGGCAAGAGGGACAGCTGCAGTTGGGTGCAGCCCTGCGGAGGGCACCCTGCTTGCTGCCAGATAGCTCTTGATGGTGGTGGCAGCAGGGCCCAGATACTACCATCTACCCTCTGGGAGCAGGAGGTTTTCTGCCTGGAGACCCTTCCCTCGTCCTCCTGGGGAGGGGGAGGTGAAGATGCTCAGTTACAGATATTTTTCAACATGTGGGGAAGATGGATATAGAAGCAGGTCGAGGTCAGAGATCAGTGTCACCCAGACCTAAACTTCAGCTCCTGGCTGCAGACTATGAGCCCTAAGCCACAGCTGAGGCAGGGCCAGCAGGCTGGGGTATAATGTCCTGGTTCCCAAGTCCCAACAAGGGACCATAAGTTCACTCTTAACCTGCTGAGTCCAGGAGGGAGCAAGGATTGGTGGGCCAGCAATTCCCCTGGGCTCCTTGGCCTCTCGCTGGAGCAGTTGGTGGAGTCCTGGGGACCCCACGAAGCTGCATCTCAGAATGGTGGTCACAGATACTACCAGGGCACTCCAGCAACTGCTCAGAAAGGTGGGAGCCAAGGACCCCCATTCTGTTCCCTGTTCCCCTGCTATTCCCAAGGACAAGGACTGGGGAGATGACGGTACTTAGAGCGGGAGACCGCTGCACTTGGCAAGACTGGCATGCCTTCTCAGGCAGGAGAGAGCACTGTCACAGCCGCACTCCCTCCACCGCTCAGAGAAGACGTGTCACCAGCTCACACTTCTGCTTTCCTCCTCCCTTGGCAGCAGCAGACTGTCTGCAGCCTGTTTGTCTACAGAAGACTCCGGCTGCCTCACCCTGTGGGAAACCTGAAGACGTGCCCCCCATTTTTATGTACCGGGTGCCTGCTCAAGCTGGTACGAAGTAGGGTGCCCCCTCACACACTGACACAGGCCCAGCCTGTGCCCAGATGTGCAAATGCCAGCCTCGTCCATTCCCTGCCCTAATAAATGCTAAAATCTGGAAGCAGGGCTGAACCCAGCCAACCTCCCCACCACCAGCTTTGGTCCATTGGCACCAACTTTCCAGATGCCTAGGAGAGGGATCTCTCCTCCTCCAAGCAGAAGCACCAGCACCAAGAGGTGAAGATGAGCAGAGGCGTTTCCCAGAGCTTCAGGGACAGCGCTCCTCCCGTTCCCGTGGCCAGGCTGGCTACACCAGAGCTGCTGCCTTCAACAACATTAGTATCACCAGCATCTCAGTCACTGAGAACCCCCTGTTATCAGGAACCATGAGCTAGTTTACAAGAGACAGCAAACACAGCAAATGGGAGCCTTCTTATAAGGAAACTCACTTATTTAAAATCAACATGACCAGGCAGGTGTGGTGGTCCATGCCTATAATCCCAGTGACCTGGGAGGCCGAGGCAGGAGGTTCTAAATTTGAGGCCAGACTCAGCCACTTAGCAAGGCCCTGACTCAAAAAGGGCTGGGGATGTGGCTCCGTATTAAGTGCCCCTGGTTTAATCCCCAAAACAAAAAAAAAAAGAGACATTAATATATAAAAATGTGCGTGTGTATATTTCCAATGTACGTTTGTCAGAAACGGAATAATTCAGTGAGGGTGAGTGTGCTGTCTTATCCAGTGAGTGTGCACCGGAAGCTCACGGGAAGGATGACATGAATGTGCTGTTCACTGGTGTCACTTTTGCCATAAGAATCTTACCACTCTCAGTGTGACCCTCATCTTTAAAGAAGGGATTTCGTCACCTGGCCCTGACCCCTGGACCCAGCTACAGCTCAGCAGATCCCTCCCACCACTAGGGACCCAGCTCTGCTGTGTCTGTCTCAGGCAGCTGTCAGATCGAGGCCGCACCTGGAAGGGGTTCTCTAGGGTGGTTTTTATTCTGAAGTTGGCCCTGCTTGATTAGGGACAGACCCACCACCTCAGCCCCAGATGGTGGGCTTTTCAGTGCATCATTGAATTTCAGAAAGAGAACTCCTGAGGAAGACCCTTGAGGGGAGGGATTGGGCGTGAAGTCCCGTTCCCAAGTCCCAGAAAGCCAGGACTGGCGAGCTCAGTCTATATGGAACGCATGTGAGAGCTGGCCCCATGGTGGTCCCCACCCCCCAGTGTCCACACTCCCCACCAAGACCCTCCCCACCAAGACAGACTGCCCCGTGTGACTAGTAGAAATCAGCAGAAGCAACGGATGTCACTTCACAGATCAGGCTGTGATAGGCTGTGGCTCTGCTCTAAGGGTGCTCAAGTGTTCCATCTCCCTACCTCCCTCTTTCCCCACCTTCCTCCCTCTCTCCTTTCTCCCTCCCCATCTCCCTGCCCCATCCCCACCTCTCCTTCCCCCCTCTGTCCCTCCCTCTCCCTTCCTCTACCCCCCTCCTTCTCCTTCTCCCTCTCTCTCTCCCCCTCTCTCTCTCCCTCTCTCTCTCTCTCTAGTGTGAGTGTGAGTGTGTGTGTGTGTGTGTGTGTGTGTGTATGCGCACCGGCACACACCACTGGCTTTGGGGGCGCCAGCTCTCATGTTGAGGAACCTGTGTAGCCAGGAGCTAGATCCTGCCATTAGATGAGGGGCTCGGAGGCCACTGTCCCTGCCCAGTCACGCCCAAGATGGCTGCAACCCCACCCACCATCTTGAAGGCAGGCAGACCTTGAGCTGGCTCCTGAGAGGCCAAATGCTTCCAACCTCTGGAAAGCCAATGCCAAGGGGTGGTGGCCTTGGACACCCTCGTCTTGTACCTTCACTCCCCCTCTGCCCTCTACCCTCTCACACCTTGTCACCTGCGTTGTTGCCCTTTTGTTCTACCTTAGACTACTGGAAAGCGAGGCCAGCCTGAGCTGGCTGCAGCAGCAGGACCCTCCCCAGGCGGTGGCCTTGGACCTGAGCCTGAGCTACATCTACAAGGTGAGTCAGGCCTCCCCCTGCCTGGCCGCAGCTCAGCAGTCTGGCTCTGGAGCGTCCTTGTACCCCGTGCGCTGGCTCAGCACTGCGGCAGGTGCCCTGCAGCTGCTGGCACCCGTGCGGAGACTGCCCTCCCTGGGCCTGCGCTGCCCCAGGGCCCCAGACCTCATCCAGGCCTCGAGGCTCATTCTCTCCCGCTCCTCTCAGCACGGCCAGAGGGGCTCATGGCGCGAGTCCCTCCTGACCATCTGTCAGGGAACCAGACGCCACAGGCCCTTCTTCCCACATCATGTGGCCCCTCCGACCCCTTTCCTTCCAGTTCCTGACGCTGTGTGCCCTAGCCCAGCCGGGGGCCTACACAGACGCACACCTCCTGGGCCTCATAGAGCTGCTCTGTCGCACCAGCCTGGACGTGGGGCTCCGCCTGATGCCCAAGAGCGACCTCCAGCAGCTCCTGCTCCTGCTCCTGGAGAACATCCGCGAATGGCCGGGGAAGGTACCCCCGCGCTGCATCTGACCCCTAGGGCTCTGTCACTGGGAACCAAGGGTGGCCCCAGAGCACCCTGGATGGGGATGCGTCCCCAGAGCACCCTGGATGGGGACGTCCTGGCCTCCACCTTGCCCTCGCCCCCAGGTAGGCTGGGTGGCAGGTCAGAATGGAAAGTAGCCCACCAGGTGTCCCCTGTCCCCACAGCTCCAGCCTCTGTGCTGCGCCCTCAGCTGGGTGTCCGACCACCACCACAACCTGCTGGCTCTTGTGCAGTTCTTCCTGGACGTGACCCCCCGGGGCAGGTAGGTGCTTCTCCCCCTAGTGCTCACTCCTGGAGTCCTGCGGGCGCCCCATCTTCCCCGCAGCTCCAGGAAGCCTCCTGCCCAGTTCCTGAACCCAGCCCCTGCCCCAGGAAGAGAACGAAAAGTGCAACTCACTAGTGAGTTCTTCACAACTGGAAGGAAGAAAGAGCCTTTTTTTCTTTTTCCTTTTTAAAACTATTTCTTAGTTGTAGTTGGACACGATACCTTTATTTTATTTATTTATTCTTATGTGCTGCTGAGGATCAAACCCAGGGCCTCACACTGCTAGGTGAGCGCTCTACCGCTGAGCCACAACCCCAGCCCCCTGATTTTCTTAACATGTTTTTCTTTATTTTATTTGATATCAAACCCAGGATTGCATAACCTCTGAGCCACATCCTAGCCTGTTTCTTTTCTCGCTAAGTTGCTCAGGTCCTCTCTAAGTTGCTGAGGCTGTGAAGCCAGATTTAAAATTAGGTAGTCAGTGTAGTTAGGTAAATTGGGTCTAATATCGAGTGAAATCTAAAATGGAGGCCATGGTGAGAATGAATTCCCGGAAAAGTTGAGCAACTCTTGAAATGTTGATGAAGTCCAGGAAACAGCCCCCAACAGATTTGAAGATAGCCCATCCCAAAGAAAGGTTAATGAACAGCAAACTTGAAGATGCTGAAGTGTTAATGAACAGCACACTTGAAGTGCCCAGATTACTTCTTTGGCCCACCTATGTCCCACCCCTCGGCCTCCCACCTACATTCCATCACCAAAAACTATAAAAAGGGGAAACAACCGCACTTCCATGGATTCCACCTCTTGGGTCCCCTTCTTCCTCCGGGAAAAGTCTTTTCTGCTGTCCTTTAATAAACTTCTATTTTCCACTCTAAATGGAAGCAAGGACTCAACAGCGGTAACAGCTGGCTTTGAACTCTCACTCCTCCTGCCTCAGGCTCCCAAGTCTCTGGGATCACAGACATGTGTCACTGCACCCAGCTCAATATGGTCTTATTAGCAAAATGCGGCCTTGTATACTTAGCTTCTGCCCTCTTTTCACTGGGGCTTCCTCCCCAAACTTTGGTGACAGTTTCCTTCTCTTCATTCAGACCTCAGCTGGTCACCCCATCCTGCTGCCTCCCTAACTCTTAGTTCATCTTTCTGTTTTATTTTCTGTTCAGCATTCATCTTTGCCATCAGTTATCTTAATAGAACGGAGGAAAGGTAGTTCGCAAATTCTTTTTTTCTTCCTCTGGAGGTACTGGACGGGACCCTGGAACTCTGCCACCGAGCTAGCTACAGCTCCGGCCTTTGCTTTTCCCATCTTCCAGGCTTGCTGCTGGCACCCTATTTTATAAACTGTTTTCAGATGATAAATGAAGTGAACAGAGGAACTAAGCCCAGGAGATACGGCCCACTAGCTGGGGCTGGGGATATGGCTTAGTTGATAGAGAGCTAGCCTCACATGGACAGGCCCTGGGTTCAGTCCCCAGAACTGCAAAAGAGAGAGAGAGAAAAGGAAAAGACCCATTGGCTGGACTTGGCCTTGTCTGGCCCTGTCTCTCCACCTTCCTTCTCTGCTTTGGGCCACAGTGACAGGGAGTGCCCTGCCCTGCCCTTACCAGACCACTCCCCATCGCCTCTCCAGGCCTACTCATGCTCAGAGTTGCCCCTGTCCACTCCAGCCTTCTGCAGGCACCTCCAGGGTCGCCTGCCATCGGGCTGCTCCCCTGCAGCCCTCCCAAGGGTGGCTCTTGCGAGCAGGCTTGGAGTTAGCTGCCTCTTGTACCTCAGGGCCCAGCCAGGCGTATGCTGTGTTCACAGACCCCCCATCGGGGTCCTGCTGGGCTCAACTTCAGACTCCTCGCTCTGAAGCTGGTTGAAGGAGAGGAGGCCTCCCCACAGTCTTTTTTTTTTTTTTAAATAATGGCCTACGCGACGCTCTTTTTTTTTAAAGAGAGAGAGAGAGAGAATTTATTTATTTATTTATTTTTAGTTTTCGGCGGACACAACATCTTTGTTTGTATGTGGTGCTGAGGATCGAACCCGGGCGAGCGCGCTACAGCTTGAGCCACATCCCCAGCCCCCACAGTCTTGAGAGGGGAGTTTCGTTCTGTATTTGGAACACTCTGAAAACTGCCAAGGCCCTCTAGGGGCCTCAGTGGGCATGGTCTCTGCTCAGCCCAGATCCTGGGATTTCTGTTTGATCTGAGGAGACGGAGACCAACCTGCCTGCTTCCAGCCTCCCCACCTCCTCCCCTCCCCACAGCTCACTTGTGCTGTCGCCCAGGTTGGAACCTGTAGTCCTAGAGGTTCCCCCACCCCCATCATCCCCTTTACCCCCAAATCCTGTGCTTTCTGCCTTTTGAATCATAAATCCTACGTCCTTATTCATGGTTGCCTCTCCACTTCGACTCTGTGATGGCTGGTACCTTGTCTGGGTCACTAAATCAGCTACTTCCTTCCTGCCCTTTCCTGCTTTCACTTCCCTGTCTTCACCTGGGAGGGAGCAGAGGCTTCCTGTCCCTTCCTCCTCCCACAATCTACCTGCAGAGACCTGTTGATACTTGTGATTATCAACTCTCTGCCTCGCCTCACTCCCTCTGGCCTGCATGACCAAGTCTAGGTGCCTGAGACTGGTCTCCAAGGCCCATGTGGTCCCACCCAGTTTCCCATTTGCTTTGACAGGACCACATTGTTAATGGTTGGTTTTCTTGTGTGTGTATGCATGTGTGTGTGTGTGTGTTTTGAACTTCCTTCTTTTTCAGAGCTGCATAGTATTCCCTAGTGTATGCGAAACTAAGGTAAAATAGAAGAGATAATAAGTTGGTAGAAAGGAGACATGAAGGAAGTACAAGGGAAAAAAATTCCGCAGTACTGGGGATTGAACGCAGGGGTGCTCTACTACTGAGCCACATCCCATCCTTTTTATTTTGAGACACAATCTTACTAAGTGGCTGAGACTAGCCTCAAACTTGTGATTCTCTTGCCTCCGCCTTCAGAGTAGCTGAGATTACAGGTGTGTGCTTAAGTGGATTAAGTGCCCCTGGGTTCAATTCCTGGTACCAAGGCGGGGGGGGGGGAAAGTTGTGCCTACTTTCCAGGCCTGTCACTCCAAGAATCCTGGAAAGGCTGTGAGTCTACCTGTGTACTGCTGATTAATGCCCCTGTAAGTAGATTGAATAAAGAGAAATATGGTATTTTAAGAAACCTGTAATTTAGGGGACTTTCCAGCCCTATCTACCAATCAGGTAATGAAGGCCATGAGGCCTCAGGACCTGGAGACTGACCACACCACCATAAACTGTCTTGACGTCACCAGACTGACATCAGTCTGCCCACCTTCCAGACCTCCCCTCTCCACGTCTCCTTTAAGGAGAGGTGGCAGCGTGATGCCACCTGAGCTTCAGAATACATTGTTCCTGTGTGAAGGGGGCTCAGGACCCACTCTGCCTCCCTCGGGGAGGGCTCTTGGGTATAACGTGGACTTGGGGCATTCCTACCCGATCTTGGTCCTGCTCGCAGGGCATCCTAGCTGAGGAGAAACTTCCAAGCCCCCCAGTCTCATGGCTCCCCCTGCTTCTCCTCACCCCCTGGTTTCTGTTCCTCCTGTCTGGTGTTCTTGGCCAGAACTCGCCCCCTTCCGTAGACTCAGGACCGTAACCGCCAGGTCTGCCCCTTCAAGGCCTGCAATAAATGGACCTTGGGGAGCCGATAAAGAGCAGAGCTGGGAGCCCACAGGCATCTCAAGGTGGCCTGCGTAGGGCGGGGCGATAGCTCAGGGGTGGAGGACTTGCCTAGCAGGTCCCCAGCACCGGAGACAAGACAGAGGGTTGTCACATTGCCCTTGAATCTGCAGTCCTCCTTTTCTCCCCAAAGAGAAAAGGTCCCCACTTTCTGGGTGACCCTCTGTCTGGCCTCCAGCCTAGACACCACGGGTCCTGTCTCAGATCCCCCTTGTCTGCAGAAGCTCCTCAGAACCATCTTCTCCCAAGACAAAACCGGCCCTCCCATGACTGTCCTTGTGCACGAGTTTGGGGCAGACATCTTCACAAGATAACCTCCTTGACGGGAAACTGCAGTCCTGTCCTGTACACATTTAACGTCTGGCCTCCAGGGAAAGCGGGGCCGGCTGGTACTACTGCCCAGGTACCACCGCAGTGCCTGTGGCCCCCGTTCTCCCTCACGCTGAGCATTCCCAGTGTTAGTCACCCACGGTGGTCACAGAACACGGTCTGGGGTTCTGGTTGTGCTGATGGCAGTGAAATGGATTTTCTCTTCTTGTTTATAGGTGGCATTTTTCAATAAACCACGATTTTTTTTTTCCTCAAATTTTTTTTTCTTTCAATGCTGGTGCATGCTAAAGCAACCTTCTAGGACAGATCTGTCTTTTCAGAAAAATGGCATGAATGAATTACAGAGGTGACTGGGCGTTTTGTGCAATTGAATGCTTGCCATGAATAGGAAGGCCTTTCCCTCCCTGAGACCACAAAAAAGCCCTATTTTTTTCTTTCAGTACCTACTGACAGGAGTTTGTTCCTGTCTTACTCCCAGGTGGAGTCAGTTTTTCGTCATTGTGAGACAAGGACCTAATTTGAGTTTTTTCTTCCACTCCCGAAGTAGACACAATACAGTGTGTGTGTGTGTGTGTGTGTGTGCGCGCGCGAGTGTGTGTTAATAATCTGCAGTCTCCCAAGATATTCAAAATTTCCTTTGTCGTATCCCAGATTTATGAGTTTCTAGCCACATTAATCTGTGACCTGGAGAACCAGTGTCTTGAAGGGTCTCTTTGTAGCTCCTGGTCCCTTAAAGGCCAGGGAGTGAAGGCAGGAAGGGGTGATCTTCACCTTTAGACAGACAGGTCAGTAGGGTAATGCCCTGGGCCACGGTCTTCACTAGAAAAGAGGGTTCCTCATCTGGATGAAGTTGCTTATGTAGAAATGTTATTTCTTTTCCAATAGATAAAGCATTAAAGTGCTATAAAATTCAGAAGGTACCAAGGTGTAGCTAGA